AGAAATGTTGTATGACGTATATTGTGTATGATGTCATAGTCAAGTTTTCCCGTACAAATTAGGCTCCGCCTCCTTTTTGTAACCTTAACTGTGCTGCGATGCTGAAGCAAATGAAAAGAAACTGAGGAGGGGGTTCTGAGTGTAATTCGGAGTTAGCCACCTTGTGTTATTATTATACTATGGTGTAAATTTATTTCAGAAACAAGTGCCTCTGCATTTTACTGGAAAATGACAACTCGATTCAGTATTCCCAGTACTTTGATTTCAGAGGCGGGCACTAGTTGATGACGTATATTTATCATTATACTACATGAATAAAAAATATCATTCGCAAGTAATAAAATTCTGTCATTTAATGCTCAATTTTCAAGAAACATAAGAATATTTAATGTTACATGTAAGTGTAAATTAATCGTGTAATTTAGATTTCCTGTAACTACCTTATCTGAAAAGGGTTTTCCCCAAAGTTATATTCCTCCCTCATATGTATACTCTAGCAGATTTTTAATATTTTAACCTGCAGAAAGTCCGGAAGCAAGAAAAAAGGTCCATCCAGTTTTGGGTTTGAATGGTCAGACTTCTTTGTATGAAACGCGCAGTTCTAAATATAGCAACAATTTACGACCGTGACGAGAAATATCAAGTTTCGATTTACGGAGGAGTTTAAATCTATTATTCTGTTAAAAATTAATAAATGAAATAGAGTGTGTTTTGATATCCATATTTTGACACAATGTTCGACAAAAATTTGAACAATGTTACAATGTCTTTTTTTGGTTATTGCAACTTTAATTTGTGTTTGAATTGAATTGAACATATTTTATTGACAGAGTCAAAAGGATCAGATGCAAGTTAAAAAACTACGATAGTTTTTCTCTTAATACAATATTTTGTTAAATTGCCAAAATAAAACACATGTATTTATACGGTCCACTACATAAGCAAAGTAGTAATAGAAAGAAAATAAGATTTGAATTGGTAAAAAAAAAATCTTAGTTTGCAAAACGACCACATTCATTCTAGAAAGTTTGAATAATCTTGAAAAATTCAGCATTTTGTAAGAAAATCAATACCTCATAGCATTAAATGTACATTCATAACATATAAATGTGTTATAACATATAAATAATTAAATGACAATAGCTTATTCATTAAGGAATTCCTTGCTTTTATATAATTCTAACAAGCAATAAGCAAATAATATGCATCTTTTATTGTAGTCCACAAGAACAATTAGGACTAGCTATTAGATTACAGGGATATTTTTCCCATATGAAAAATATTTCTTAGGTTTTAGAATACTCTTGTGCAGACGGTTATTATTTTTTTAATAGAAGTTGCCTCCTTTTTTGAGGCAAAGTGAATTCCACTTTCTTACAGTATCAGAATAAATGATTTATTATATAATTCTTATCTGTATTTTTACAAAGAAGAATTTAAGGAATTCCAGGTAGTGTATCCTGAAATATTGCCTCTTGTATCAGGTACTAAATCAAAATGATTTGGTACTAAATTATTGTGCTTTTTATTGATTGTTATTAGTTTTGCTCTGTTTCTTCTGTATTCCAAATATAATGAATGTTTTGAAGAAATAATTATACATGTAAGCCCAGTAACTATTCCTGCAGCAAATAATTGTATTTTCTCAAGATTATCAATGTCTGTTTTGTGCATCCAGACCAAACTTCAACAGCATACCAGTATTCAAGGTGTGGTCTAATAAAAGATATACTGTAGACATACTTTTTTTCCACGGGGTCTTAATTCCGCGGAATCTCAATTTCTGTTTAATCCACGGGTAGAAAATTACGCGGATTTTCTATATAGTCTCTATATGCCTTACATTTGTATTAAGTACGCTTGGACAAATTTCCGCGGAAAATTTGTGACCGCGTACATAGCGTAAATTAATACCACGCGGAAAAAAGTACTTCTACAGTATATAAATCTGGGATAGAATTGACAGAGCAAATTTTAGCTTTTTAAGTAGCCCCCGTTTTTGTATGCTTTCTTCATGATGATATCAAGATGATCAGACCATGCTAAGTTGGACGACAGAAGTACCCCAGGGTGTTTGTGTTCTGTTACATACATGTATTACAATTTGCAATTGTCAAAACAAGTTCATGGAAATGCTCCGTCGTTGCGCACGGTGTTGGTACTGTAATATCTAACTCTTTATGTTGCAGTGAAATTGGCGGTTTCACTTTGTCATATTAATTTTAAATTAAAAATTAAAAAAAAAATGGAAGTACAACATGATACCAGCAACATGGTCTGAAGGTAGCATCATCAAACTACCAAAGAAAGGAGACCTCACAAACTGTAACAACTGGAGAGGTATTACTTTACTCTCTATACCAAGCAAGATATTCAGTAAAATAATTGTAAGCAGAATAAAGACAGCAGTGGATAAAAAACTAAGGAAAGAACAGGCAGGCTTCAGAAATGGAAAGAGCTGCTGTGACCAAGTATTTGTACTAAGAAACATAATAGAACAGTGCACAGAGTGGCAAAGACAACTCATCATAAACTTCATTGACTTCGAAAAAGCTTTTGATAGCATTCACAGAGACAGTTTGTGGAAAATCCTGAGGCACTACGGTATACCATCTAAACTAGTTGACCTAATAAAAGCATTTTATGAAGAATTTAAATGCTCTATTGGTAGATCATCAAAGACAAGCTTTCTTGTTAAGTCAGGAGTGAGACAAGGATGTGTGATGTCAGCTCTATTGTTCATCATAGCAGTAGACTGGGTAATGAGATCAACCCTTAGTGATGAGAATACCGGCATCAGATGGACTCTTTTCAACAAACTAGAGGACTTAGATTATGCAGATGACCTGGCTTTATTATCTCATCTGGAAACACAAATGCAAAGAAAAACATCTAATTTACAAATAAATGCCAGCAAAATCGGATTGAACATCAACATAAAGAAAACAGAAGTAATGTCCCTAAATACAAAAAGCCCACCCAAAATACAATTGAATGGAGGAGATATCAAAAATACAGATTATTTTACATACCTGGGAAGTGTGGTAACATCAGATGGCGGAGCTGACAAGGACATAATATCAAGATTAGGTAAAGCCAGAGGAGCCTTTGTCAAGCTTAAGAACACATGGAAGTCAAGCAGTATTAGCAGACATACTAAGATCAGACTGTATAATAGCTGTGTCCTATCTGTTTTAATGTATGGTGCTGAATGCTGGAAGATGACTGAAAGTGACATTAGAAACTATCAAGTTTTCATAATGGGTGCCTCAGAAAGATCTAGAGGATATTTTGGCCAGCAAAAATAACCAACAAAAATTTGTATGAAACAACTAAAACAACAGACATGAGGACCTTACTAGTAAAATATAGATGGAGATGGATAGGCCATGTCTTGAGAAAGCCCACAGATGACATCACAAGAGTGGCACTCAGATGGACCCCAGAAGGGAAGAGGAGGAAAGGCCGACCAAAAACAACATGGAGGCGAACAGTGGAGAAAGAGCTTAAGGAAATAAATCTCACCTGGGGAAAGGTGGAGAAGATTGCAAAGAATAGAGAGGAATGGAAATCCCTAGTCCTTGCCCTATGTGCCTCCGGGTGCAACAAGGACTAGGTAGGTAGGTAGGTAGGTAAAAATGAAAATTGCTTATGTTATCGAAAGTAATAAATAATTCTAAAAATTCTACTTTAAATAGTTCAAATACAAATATTTCAACTATGGTGAGGCGTTATTCATTATTGGTCATTACGGCGTTCTCGTGTCCGACGTTACTGACATCAATTATTGTTCGCGCAACTACAAGGTCTAAAAATATGCACTTACAATCCTCTAAATTAAATAAAAGGATGCAATAAAATCTATGTATTTTGCAAGACATTGTTGAGTTTTTAACAACATTTTATCATTTCCATGAATTTTGACTGGATCTGCAGTGCGTAAGTAAAATGTCAAACAGTAAATCAAAGTACTCAGAAGTACAGAGAGCCGGGCTCATTTACGGAGTAGAATGGATTTCTTACATGAATCACGTTTATATTCTGATGAAAAAATTATTTTAAAACTATCAATACAAATGATAAGACACTGACAGTGAGTTTTTCAATCCTAATACCACGGTCCGATTTCGCAGCTGAATGTAAACAAACAGGCCAGTCTGGTTCCCTCTCCTGCTTTACCTCGTATGTGAACAAGAGAACTACGGTAACACTGATTATATCAAAAATCCTTACGCTAATGAACTATGTTCTTTGACTTATGAAGTTTTCAAAGTCATTACTACTAATGTTTATTTTATATAGATAAAACTTCGTTTTATTTTTGTTGCTTTATTTAGCGTTTGTATTATCTCAAAAGCGGTTGAAAGTAAGAACTATATTTTTGCACGTAACTTTAAAATGGCGACTATGGGGTCAGCATCCTGCCTTGAACAGGATCACATAAGCCGGCAATTGCTCTTTGAGCAATAAGCCCGGCTAAAAATCGTTTCCTTACTTTGACATTAGCCTAATTGGTGATGTGTACCAAACATAAATTCCAGACAAATATAAATTTTGGTGAATAATCCTTCAGTACATATATTTCATAGATTACTTGAGTTGATACATATTATATTGCTTTTCCGACGTAAATATTAGGAGGGCTTTCTTAAGTGTAGCCATTTTGTTATGAACGCATGAGTCAATGTATTGTTACTTAATATGTCTCAGTTACATGCACACTATCTGCAACCTTTAAGGAGGGATTCTTCTCATATTTATTATATTTTAATATTAATACTATATTCTAGGATTCAAGAAGACAAAATCACTAAGTGATTGTATCAGTTAGATTAAATTACACGGGTTATTTTAGGAGAAGGGTAAGACCAAGGTCATTAACTGTTCTACACCTTCATTAAATTCTAAAACGGATAAAAAGAAGTGTATTCTGGCGTAATTTACTTGTGCATCAAGTTATATTGGACAAAAACTTCAGAATTAAAAATGCTGTTTAATCTTTTCAACAAATTCAATTTCCAGTATCAACATGTTATGTACATGTTATAAAAAACTATTCAACATAATGTCCTCATTTAAAATGACATGCCGGAATGCTAATTTCTATACATCAAATAAATGAACATTTTGTAATTTACATCACTATCAACTAAAGTTCGTCCTTTACAGATGCGCTGGTAGGTTTATAAAATCTCCCAGCAAACAGAATGACGTCATTAACTGAATCTCGAATAAAAAATAAAAAAGGGTGATTTGCTCGAAACTCTGGGGTAATCTCTATAGATCGCTTCTTCATAACGACACCCGTGGCTGCGGCAGCTTCGGTTCCTTCTTCATTGACATCAACAAAGGCTTTATGGTACACCTCACTAATGTAAACATCTTTATCTTTATCCATGCCTGTAAAATCAGCATTATCTCCAAATGCTAAAGGCATACCCAAAGCTGACAAATATGGCTTCAGCTGAAAGGTCGATTCCATTTTAAATTTCGGTAGATACACAGCAACCTTCTTCTCCCTTAGGTTACTGACTATAGATTTGAGGAGAGATTCTGTTAAATTTTTTTCTAGATGCTCTATACCATCGACAGCTAAGGGGAGAAGAATAAGCATGCTGAGGGTTTTTCCTTGATATGGCAGCTCAAGGGCACTAAGCGTTAGGTCAGGCAAGTGGCAGAAATTGAAAGAGGCCTTTTGATACATCATGTCTGTGTTTACTTTTTCCTTGGTGTTCCGAAACTCCATTACTTGTGTGAGCTTGCTTTGAAATTTTCTGTTCCAGTTTCCTCTAAAGTAGATGGCATTTACTAGAACCATGAATGTAAGTTCATCCAGCGCACTTGCTGGAATCAGATCTTGGATTTTATTTTCAGTTTGCTGACTAACCCAGGAATTGATTATTTTGCTTGCTGCCTCAGACTGAGAAAAATCGACGCTCTCTAATGAAGCTTTAAAATGTGTGTTGCAGTCTTCTAGGAAAGATTCTTCAGGTTTGAACCTCATGCTTTGATAGATTCTATTGGCAGTTTTAAGTGTGCAATCAACGGTTTCCTTTGACAAGAAATCAAGATAAGAGCCAAATGCTGTGTGGACATCTTTGTCCATTTCCTCAAAGTGGAGGGCTTCAGTCATTTCTTTCAAGGTTTCTGTTCTTGCTCCCATATGAACCATTGCTAGGGCTGTTGATATGCTGAATGGCGAGTAGAATATATTGGATTCTGATGGTAACTGCTTCAGCAGACTTAGCATGAATCTCTTATTAGCTCTTGAGAAAGCTGCAGACATTTCTTTGTTTGAAAACGGTAAAACAGTCGCCATGTTACATTCAATACAATAAACTACCAACAGCACAGCAAGTATCAACGATGAAATTCTATTGTAAATTCTGGACATGAACGTGAAACTATTGTATCTGGTTCAGTATCACCTGAAACGATTAAACATCTTTTATACAATTGACAGAAGTTTTTCTAATATATCTTCTAAATTTCAAGAAAATACTTATTATTCAAAACTTTTTTTTTTTCAAAGCAAATTAATCCAATACTTGTTTATTTTAATAACCTGAAAAATGTTTGGATTGTACGCATCAGTAGGTTTTTCCAGACGCTTTGACCTAAAAACATGTACAGTCATTTTACCAGTAACGAATCGGTTTCTATTTACGTCTTAAATACAACCCACATCTTTGAATTTCCAAATTTTCTTTGTTGTTGTTTGATTTGTATTTCTAAGCTTTACAAATAAGTGGTACAAAAATTTCCAAAATATAAATGGTACAGGGACAGAGCTGTCAAAAACAACCCCCCCCCTATTTTCCTAGTTTCGAATTGATTTTTCAGTATATCGAATCATTTGCCTTTTACTGTTGCTGACTTAATAAATTAATTCGGTTGATCGATCAATTATTGCAGAAATATACCTTCAAGAAAATTCTACAAAAACTATATACTAGTAAGCATTACTTGTTGATTCAAATGATTATTTTTCTAAAACTAAACAATATGAAAAATGTTGCATTTTATGAGAACCTTTTAGTGAAATGCGTTATTAAAATTAAATCAACCATCTCTGAGACATAATTTTCATGGAATATCTGTGCTTATAAATCGTTTTGATAGTATTTTCACTTTTTTCCCATCCCGTAAAACGCATTTTTCGTTCTTCGAAAATTCGTGATTCGTAACTAAGAAAACAACACTTGGTTAGTTTAGCTGTTAAATTTCATTCAAAAGTCAATTTTTGTTTAATTCAATATTACATCTTTTTGTATTTATCCTTAATATTGACTACATACTCAATCTGGATCAACAACATATCGAAATTTTTTATTTAGACGCATTTGTCGACACACTTTCGTTTTCCAAGACTTGCCTTGCGCTTGTTAAAATCTAGGTCATCGTTTCAAATTGTAAATACTGTGGGAAATTATCATGCAGGTTGCAGATATTACAAAAATACAACATAGAGATAGAAAAGTTATCCTTTTATTGTATTTACCTAGTAAGATTTTTAAAACCCGTCACTATGTCTTCCTAAAATATTTAAATTAAAAAAAAAAAAAATTCGATACTGACAAATATTCGTTACTGGTAAAATGACTGTATCTTTCTCATATGTAAAGGACCATCAAAAAGTCTATTCTGTAAGTACGAATTGTAATAGATAATCGGCAAAATCAGTTCAATCTTATCAACATTAAAGTACATGTAATTTACTACATACAAGAATGGTCCACCATACCTCATATGTTTACATTTCCCTGGTACGTTAAAATACTTAAACTAAGAATCGATATTAAATATAAATCACTGATTAAAAATTATGCACAGAAAACACATTTAATTAAGTACTTTTGATGTTTACTTACTTAATGTGTCATAGATGTTACAAGCCTAGGATATCGAACTGTCGGTAAGGTACTACGTGTAGTGGTCAAAATAAATAATTCCGTACCACGTGATCCACAGCTAGTAGGGCGTCTTATTAGTGTCACTGTGTATATATGTCAACATAGATTGAGATAGGCAACCAGTGTAATTCTCAAAATTTAAGCATGATTTGTGTGTTCTTTTTGTACAAGTACATGTAAATAAATAAATAAATAAATATTAATGGTCGTAATTAGGAGCGTTCGCTATAAATGCCGGTTCGGTCCCGTAGGGTTATTCGGGTGAGGCCTAATCTTTTTAGAGAAGTGGACAGGCTTTTGTCTACATCCACAGAAGGATGTAGGCCTGTACACTTCTCTAAAGACAACAGAATAAGGCCGTGTAACCCGAGGATCCTAGCTTGTCCCAAAAGGTGCTAGCTTGAAAAAGATCCCCCAGAGCATGCAAAGTGCTTAGTATAAATAAGGTCAAACTGCAAGTGTTGACCGGTGTCTCAACATGAATGAAAAATGCTTCAAAATGCGTAAATTACAAAGAAAGTCTTTTACTGAGCAGTAAAAAATTGGCAGCTCAGTCAGATTCTGAAACTGAATCATGTTTTCCTGCGAAATTTAAAATTCTCGAACAGTCTCGGATTTTAATTGCTCCCAGACAGGTTGTCTCTTCTGAATTATTTGATGTGCGAGCATTATTACTGAATGACCGAGTCAGACTCTTTGTTTGCTTTAAAAATGCATTTACGCGTTCCTAGCTTCCAGAATTTTTCGATCCAACATTGAGTCACCACAAACTTTTTCGAGATATTTCAGCTCTATCAAAATTTACATCCACTGGCAAATATGAACATAATTTATATATCATCTGGATATCATCTTACACATTTGTGACTTTTTTGTTCTATACATCTATGGCTTTTAACGTCAGAGGCTAAGGAGGGGATTTCCATCGATTGGACATCCACCGAAAGGTAGATCGCGGCTTTTTGTTTCAGCTACAATAGTATTTGCACAAATGATATGTCGCATTTATGCCAGTAGCTACCACAGCAACTCGAGACCTCAAGTTTTTTCCTCTGTTAGCAGAGCAAATAATGACCTCTAAAACATCAGAGATACAAATGTAGGATCAGATGACATGGAAAATGAGCACCCCCTGCCGACCCGACCGGTCACATCGGCCGTGTGCTTCTGTCTGGAAAACTAAAAAAAAGAAAAAAACCGTAGACAATTCAGTATGGAATCAATTCCAAACCAAAAATTAAAAAATTGCATTTACTGACAAGATCATTGTATCGACCTTAGAACTAACGAAATGATGACTTCGTTTTTACGTCCCTCTCAAATTTTTTTCACTCATACGGCGACCAATCAACTTGCTATTAATAGCAGCAATTTTTTTGTCCCCCGCTTGAAAAGTGAAGGGATATAAATTTGGGTCTGTCCGTCCGTCTAGCAGTCTGTCCGTCCGTCTAGCAGTCTGTCCGTCCGTCCGTCATTCTGTCTGTCTGTAAAGCTTTCGTTTCCCCATGATATCCCGAGAACCCTTTGAGCTTCTGCAATGAAATTTGGCATAGGACCTCCTTATGGACTAAAGAAGAACACTATTGATTTTGGGGTCAAAAGGTCAAAGGTCATGAATTCGCAAATTCTGTCGGTTATAAAACTTTCGTTTCCGCGCGATATCTCGAGAACCCTTTGAGCTTTTGCTATGAAATTTTAAATAACAACCCCCTGTGGCCTAAGGAAGACCCCTATAAATTTTGAGGTCAAAAGGTCAAAGTTCAAGGTCGTAAATTTATACATTCTTTCTGTGTATAACACTATCTTTTCCAGGCGATATTTCAAGAGGATTTGGGGCTTTTGCAATGTAATTTTATATACCAAGCTCCTTAGAACCTCTCTCACCCCTCTCAAAGTGTCCCGCCCCGTTAGTTTTATTAGTTTTTATTTTATTTCATGTCGCTATTTTTAGCACAGGGGCATGAGGAGAGTTATTGTTACGTATAAAACAGGTTCTCGACGGACTTTATATTCTTATAACATCTATTAGAACTGTTTAATAAAGGTTAAATTAGACACCACATTGTGTAAAATTTTGACCATATCGAACGTGAATATATACATCTATGCGACTTCATTTTTACCTTAGAATTTTCGCTTGCGTCAAGAAGTTCCGTGGTCAAGTCGTACGTCTCCCGCTTCACATGTAAGAGGTGCCGCGTTCGAATCCCGGATGATCCATTTTCTTTTTTATTCGAAATACTTTTTTTTTTTACTAAATTATAGTATTCAGCATGTGAAATGAAAAAATTATGAGGTCTTCCTTGCACAAACTCATAAAATCATCATAACAGTGTGATAAATATTCCATATAAAAAGAATCTTCTATATACATAATAAAGAATAAGCAATCAAATCTTTATATCTATATTGGCATATTTTATTTGCTTCAGTATACATGCATACATTTAATAATTCTACAGATTCAGTGAGGGGGATCCGAGTCCCCCCCCCCTCCCCCCGAACTGCACATGGTTTACTTTTTCCTAAGCGGGGGACAAAAATTCTCTGAATTAGCTTGTTTTCTATACTCGGCACTCGAGTCATTGAGCAGTGAGGGATCTTTTACGTACCAGCACTTACTGTGACACGAATCCTTGGTTTACCGTTAAATATGGCCTCATCCGAAGGACCGGTCTCCACGTCCTACAATGGGAATCGAATCCGTGACGCAAGGATCAACTCTTAACTCCTTGACGGTAGTTCAGACACTCTAACCACTGCTAGGCCTTTCAACTGCCGCTAGGGGTTGTTATGAACGATAACTCACTGCTGAAACTTGTTTAGAGCAGGCTCGGGGTATCTAACTATTTACACGCAAGGCAGTTTTTAGCATTTCCCAAGTGTTTCTTTGCTCTCAGTAGAATCCACTGGTTTTAAAATTTAGCACCAATGTTAAACTTATTTACTGTATTGTTGTGGACACTGGTTTACTGCATATAATTAAAATTCTTAATTAAAATAAAAAGTGAAATCTACCCTCCCTCTCAGTTCTAACCTAATTAAATTTTTATACTCGGTCGTTCCCCTTCGTGTTTAGTAACACAAATAAGATGATCAATTGTTGCATTTACTTGTAAAAAAAAATATATATTTACAAAGGAAGCGAAAAAGTGCGAACACAAAAAACATGACATTAAATTTTCTTCATAATAATCATCAAAGAGAGTTAAAACTATTGAATATAGTCTGTTCCCCATTCATTTGACCCTGTTATTTCAGGTAGAGGGAAGGCATTCTTTCTCTTGGTCAAAACTTTTTGTGTACAAAACAATGTAAGGAACCCTTTTGTGTATATAACAATACCAATGCTGAAGCAACCTATATGTCATTCTATAAACGGTAACTCATAAATCGGCACTAAGTTGGTCATTTTTCACACCTGAGTTACCTGTCCTTAAACACAACATCGGAAAAGTCAATTATAAATGATTAAACCTTTTAATGATGTAATTAAAAGTATGCATAAGTTATTATCTTTTTTGATAATTTCATGTACCTATAAATCTATCTATACAATGTTTTTTACCATATGTGCAACTTGAAAAATTAGTTGAAAGGCCTACCACTGCGCCATGCGGGCGACAAACAATGACTTTAAACAAGACTGTTGATATTCTTGTTTCATTAATGTGTTCGTCAATAACTACCTCGTTATAGAAATTGTTAGTATGTAGAGCATGCTCTTGCGCGTCGAACCAAATGAGTTATATAAACCCCATATGCAGGTGATAAGGGTATTTTACAACATAAGGGAAGCTGTCGATTGAAAATTTGAAGTCATCACGTTTATCATAATGCTGTTTTGTCAAATTACCATAATGATTAAAGTCTTTTTCCAATTAAATATCAATATATGAAACAGATTTATCAGATTCTTTGGTATGTACTATTTCAAGCTCACCGAGATATATTGTGTGGACAATGGAATTATTATTTGATAGTACAGACGTTGTCAAGATATGGATTAAAATGGCAAGTTGAAGGCCACAGCAAGAGTTTTTTTTTCTTCTCGTGCTTTGGTTTTTAAAATAAATTCTGCATCTTATCATATGAATACAAAAATATGTCTTCTCATATTGGGACGCAATTGATATCCATGGAAATTCCGAGATTTTTGAAGACCTGGTCTCCAAAAATAACATAGTCATATATCCCTCTTAGAAATTAAAATAAGTTATTTTCCTTTGCAAATGATGACAAAAAGACAACAATTTAGAGATTTTATAGAAATCTCTCAAATGCCACTGCAAAAGCTTCAAATTCCACAATATTAAAATGAACATTCATACTGCATTCAGCATATTTTCTTAAACTAAAATATTGATACACAACCCTTACTTCCAACATAAATTCAGATATTCAAATCTGATCACCTATCAATACAATGTATAATACTGATCCATTTCAAATAGTTGAAAAGGCTTTGAAATATGACAAATATTTTAGCATCTAGATGAAACTCATAAATCAACTCTCTTGCATCTTACAAAAACATTCTCAATATTCATAAATTTGTCTGAATCATGATAGTTAGGGGAAAATAAGATGAAAAAAGAAAACACATTTAGGATGTATCAAAAGTTTTGAAGTAAATATGTCAATTTTTATCATATGTACACAAACTACATATTTTTTATAAGGCCAAAAAAAATTAATCAATAGTTTCTCAGGCACCGCCGCATCAGTTCAAAAACGGCCGCATTGATCAATTTTATTGACATATTGAAAAGGGAAATAACTCAATTTTCTATTTTTCAAAGCTGAAAAAGAAAATCGAGTTATTCCCCTTTTCATAATTGCCAAGAAAGACGTTTTTATTAGAAAAACAATACATTTCTTCTAAATTTAAAGTATTTTCTAAATTAACTGTTAAATAAATGTTTGGAATAACATTATTTCAAATGGAATACATATTATAACTAATTTCAGAGAACAAAAATTAAGAAGTAGTAGATATTATCATTTTCTTTAATAAATGGCTTAAAAAAGGTGTAAAACCTGTTTCAAAAAAAAAAAGCCTGTCTGTCGCATTGAATTTTGAATTTTTTGGCCTGAGAAACTATTAATTACTTTTTTTTTTGGCCTAATTGAGAATTCAATAAAAATCATAACACTTATTTTGATTAAATATCCATAGCTTATGGCACATTAGATTTAACAATGAATAACATGTGTCAAGGGAATATTTCCTTCTTTAACCTTCATTTAAATATCATTATTTATATTTAAGAGTCATTACGTGCATATTATTACAGATTATATTATGGCTATATCAAGTAGAGAAGTTAACGATGTACAACAGTCTGACAAAAAGCACAACCAACATAGTGAAAGAAAAGTCGAAAATCACCAACAAAACTCCATGTACATATGTAAAATAGCTGGCCAAAAGCAAGCAATATCCCCTCATATAAAGGAAGCAAATGTACAAAAATCCACAGAAAAGATGAACAGTTTACCCAAAGCTTTAACAAAACATGATTTTTAAACCTCTACAGTACACTTTAAAATGCTAGTTACCAAATGACAAAAATAAAAACATAAAATAAGTACATAGGTATGTGCCTTAAAAAAAAGGCTTAAAACAATTCAGTGAAAAAATAAATGCTTGGTAAGCTCTCTATATAATTCTATTGGAGTGTATATTGGCTAGTTTTCCAATACATTTAATCAAAAATTTACCACATCTAAACGGTAACAACAATAAATTCCATTACCTGCAACTTACTTTTTAAATTAAATAAAAAATTATTAAACATGATTAAGCAGTCTGATTAAAATCAAACCTTCACTAGCTCCTTTTTATTTTGTTTGTCACGTGAAAATACACAATAAAAAGGAGCTAGTGAAGGTTTGATTTTAATTAGATTGATGATTAAGTTGAGAATATTTACTCTTTTTGAGTATGTTTCTCAAAACATTACCGATATGCTTGCAAACTCAATGTGCTAATGGTGCCTGTACTATTTAAGTGCACAGTGTGGTGAAATTGGTTACACAAATTATGAGGAAATGATTGCGTGAGCAGATCTTCCTGGACATGGCACAGTAATAAACACCAGCATTAACAAGCCTACAAACCACGTCTGACTAGATATGACAAAACAAAGATGGGATTTGTATTTAATGTATTTTCTTTGGTCTTAAAAACTAAATTCAAAAAGTATCAGGGAAAAAAAGATGTACAGTGATATGATGCATTAGAGTAAGGGGCGGCAAAAATAACTAATCTAAAACTATGAAGTTAAAAAATAAAATCCAATACCTTTAAAACAAATAAGTCTATGACATTAGAAAGATATTTCATTATCTAAAATTGTACAACACTGTTTTGTGTTACAACACAGTTATTCAATATTAATACATGTATTATCTAAAATAAAACTGTTCAAAATTGGTTAAAAAATAGTGATGAAATATTTTAATGAGGTTGTCTTTTTTGGCACAGAGAAACCAGTGTTTGATAAAACAAGTCTTTTTTATGCATCATACATTTGTTTTAATGGAATGGAAGTACAAATCTCACACCCTCAGAATTTGAACTTGGTTCTCTTCTTTCTGGATTGCAAATAATAAAAAAAAAGTTTCAAAACATATTGCATATTTCAATACAAGTCCTCAAAACAGTGAAAAAGCTATTTAATTCATTGGGAACATCACTTATTTGTGATTCACTCATCTAACAAAACTGCAGAACTTAAACTTAACTGACAAGGAAATATATGCAGCTTAGGCTATATAAAATTGAAATCTTGGTTCTCAGGCCCGCGCGCATCCGTTTTGAGGTAGCCGCATTGCCGATTTTATTGTATTTTTGATAAAATAAAAAGTTGGTGTTGCGGAGACCAATCCGGGAAAAAAAATTCCGACCTCATTTGTTTCGTAGTTTAGTATTCAAATACCACTTCCGGTAGCCATTTACAATGAGATTTTGGATACTTCGTTTGAAAATACATTCGAGGACATTACCTACGATGTTTACATGCTGTTAAGCAATGGATAAAGCAGAAATTTTGACCAGAAACGGAAAGTATATTTGTGATTAAAAAAATTTTCTTTATGTCAAAGAAAATTCGGAAATTAAAATTAGAAAAAATACCTCCCTCATTTACTTTATTGCCAATAAAATGAAAAATAAAATGCCGCCCTCCCGCATCTGTTTTGGAGAAAATTGGCCTGAGAACCAAGGAATTAAATTTAGATAGCCTTACACCATTTCGAAACATTTGTTGATAGAAGTGCAATGAAATGGTCCAGTACAATTTGACTCGAATGGCTGAGAAAATATAAAATTAAAATTGTAGTTCAAAATTAATTAACTTTCAATTTGCGATCCTGTGTTAGTTCATGATATAAACTTATTTGTACTAGTCAGTTCGTTTATTAGTTCATGACAACACCTTGCCTGTACGTGTGAGTAGCTCTGTGATTCCATAATAACATGCCTGTACATGTCAGTATCTCGGTCAATGACAAGAACTTGCCTGTACATGTCAGTACCTATGTTAGTCAATGACAAGAACTTGCCTGTACATGTCAGTACCTCTGTTAATCAATGACAAGAACTTGCCTGTACATGTCAGTACCTCTGTTAGTCCATGATAACTTGCCTGTATGAATCAGTACCTCTGTTTGTCAAAGATAAGAACGTACCTGTCTCAGTCCTTCAGCTACTCTGTCCATACTCTACAGTAACTGCTTTTGTCTTGAGATATTCTGTCAGCGCTTCCATTCCTATACAAAACGAACAGTTAGTTAGTCATAAGAGATAAAGATAAACTGACAATACTGTAAATTTCTAAATACAAGCCAGGAATTCACTTTTTGTGTGTGTATTTTTCCATCAACTTACCAAGATCCTTTCCAAATCCAGACTGTTTGAAACCTCCAAAGGGAGATGCCACATCAGTCTTGTTGTACGTGTTGACAAACACAGTTCCAGCATCGAGGTGATCAGCCACATACATAGCCTTGTTGATGTCGTTAGTAAACACACCTGAGGCCAGACCATACTCTGTTCCATTGGCACTCTTCAACACACCATCTATGTCCCTGTTATTATACATGTAGGGATAGAGAGTTTAAATCAAATCAATTTATTCCTTTTCCTGAAAACATAAATATCAAAAGGCTTCAATGGAATGGAAAATGAAAACAGTTGATGGAATGAAAGAATTAAATTTAAGATAATTCTATTTGTCAGTGTCTATGCATTGCATATCTCAAAATTTCATTGACTGCAGCTTAGCTATGAGATACAGTCAGGTGCAGTAAATGGTAAACTTCGAAGCAACGGTATGGAGAATGATTCTTTGATGTTTAAAATTGATAATAAAATTAGAAGGGTAAGTAAGGATTGAACTTTGAAATTCAAATTCAGAGATTATCATTCTTTGACTTTAGAGATGGGCACGGGGCAATTAAAAGCAAAGAAAATTCATGTGCATGTTTTGTCAATTTCTCAGGTTAAACTATTTATTTTCTTTTACAATCATCTTCATCGATTTCAAAATTGTTGATGATGTCAAGATTAATTTTAATATGTTAACATATTTACTACAAACCATCTGTAAATATAACAGTATAATTAATGACTAAATGATACATTTCTGCTGGTGGACTTCCTTGTACAAAGTTTAACCCCTATCTGTAGTAAGAATATTGCCAATGCTGTCTTACCCATCTTGTACAAAGTCTAACCCCCTATCTGTAGTAAGAATATAGCCAATGCTGTCTTACCCGTCTTGGAATTTGGAGATGATCATAACCGGACCAAAGGACTCCTCCTGAGCAATAAACATGTGGTCCTCCACCCCGGTAAACACTGTGGGCTCCATGAACAGTCCTACAACAAACATTGTACATCATCTCAACAAATAGGCTGATAACTAGATAATCACTCACCAACTTATATCAATGAAAATCTATTTTATATTCTTTATTCAGTTCTAAAATAAATCATAAATTATATACTGGTGTTAAGAAATGCACAAGTGATTACACCTCTTGCCCCAAATTCTACATTAACTATTAACAATGGCAAACACTGGTGTAATTCACTACCAAGTCTCTTAAGTCTCATAAAAACAAGTACAAATCGTCCTTTTATATGACACCTACCTTTCCTGTCGACCTGTTTGCCCCCATACACCAGCTTGGCTCCCTCTTTAACCCCCACTTGACAGTACTCCAGTAATTTCTCCAGGTGAGCTCTGTGGTTCTGTGGGCCGTGGTCAGTGGAGCGGTCAAGCGGGTCCCCAATCTTCATCTTCTTAATCTCCCCAATCTACATTGTTTTACAGGGGAAATGTTACCCTCATAACCAAATGCTACTTGTCGTATGATATTTTTTTCATATCAATAATTTTGTTTTTAATGAGAAAAAAAAAATGAAATCAAACAAGCTGCTGTAATACAGTAAAGTACTTACAAAGTTTAAAAAATATTTGTCGAAAACTTTTTTGAGTTTTTGTGTTAAATGTTCCAAGCCTAACAGGCATTTTTCATATTACTACCATCTGGAAAATTATGAAGCAAAACATTCTTTGCCTGTCACACAAAGAGTTAACCACAAATGCTTACAATGCGTTCCACATATTCGTCATGTATAGATTCCTCAACAAACAGCCTTCCTGCAGCTATACAGTTCTCTCCCTTGTTGAAAAACACTGAACTCATTCCCTAATGATGAAAAATAAAACATTGTAAAAAAAAATTATACTTGATTGATTTTGTACAAAGGGTGAACAAGGTCATAGGTTCAGAAATAACTACATGTACCTTCTCATTTAATAATTGTGACCTTTAAAACTGATTTAAAAGTTTTAGTGGTGATGTGTTAGTGGAGCCAGTAAAACATGTCTGTGACCGTTAAATCAGCTTTAATAATCACAGATTACAAATGAGAAGATAGTTATTCCCATTCTAATTAGGGGTGGGACGATATACCGATACACCGATACATATCGATATTTTCCTCTAAGATACGGTTTACGATACAAGCATTCAAATATCAGTATGAAACGATACACGAACGACCTATCCAAAATTGAAAATGAAAGTACATGTCCTTGGAAAATGGCGGCTTGTACGAAGCGAAAAGATGATGTTGATTATTGAAAACACACTTTAGAACTAATAAGTCGTTGTTTAGGGGTAAAATGTTTTCACTTTTAAGCAGCCTCGGAAGATTGGACAAGAAAAGTTCAGTATGTAATGCGTGCTCTACACAGAAAGCATCGTTTCCAGAGTATTTGATATTATTAATTGTTAGTCCATCTCGTTTTTTTTTTTTTTTTTTTTTTTTTTGTAATCTCAGCTTTGCTACAGACTTTCAGCAATTAATAAAAATGTAAATGTGATGTTTTTAAATGAATTTTAGTCAGTGTTCTCTGATGAACTACTCAACTATTTGTAAACAACTTCATAAAAGGAATTTGTAATAATAATATGTACATGTATTATTGTTTTTATAAAGTTTTAGTGAATGATATTGATTAACTTCAAGTATTAATTTCAAAGCAGACATGATTTCATATAAAATAATTTGTTGATTTAATGTCAAGGCAAAAAATGAAATAAAATACTTATTCTTTTGAATAGTTTTATAATTTATCATGTTGATTGAATGACAAGACAAGAAATGAAATAAAATACTAATTTTCTAAAATAGTTTTATAATTTATCAAAATATCCAGATGTGTATCGTATCGTGCCAATATATCGAGATACGTATCGTATCGCAAGATCTGTGTATCGTCCCACCCCTAATTCTAATGCAATTTATTTATTTTGAAGGGTCTTGCTTTTGCGTAATTCTATTATGACTTCACATTCAAAAGCCTTTTCGCTCTATCATACTGCTTTAAAGAGCGATCCATTAGCCAATCAAATGCCTTTAATAAAACAACTGCATTATAATGGATACTGTGTTTAAATTTTCCATTAAGTAACATCATTCCATCCATTATAAATAATCATTATATTTATCTACTTGAAATTAATATGTGTATTTTTTAAGCAAATGTGTTTAGTTTGCTAACATAAAACTTCTAACTTACATAATTTTTGAATACATTTTCAACTTCTATTTCCTTAGACAAACTACAGCTGTACATAGAGTGTACTTTTTAATTACATTGATCTATTTAAATGTTTTGTTTTTTTTTACCATTCTAACAGCTTTGTCCATATCACAGTCACTAAATATAATCAGAGGGGATTTCCCTCCCAGCTCCAGAGAGACCTTCTTCAGGTTAACCTTGGCACAACTGAAATAATTATTTACAAACGTATTATTCATGTAATCAAAAGAACAACAAATCTTACAGTGCAACAACGTGATTGTAACTTCATATGAAAGTTAACAACTCCTCCTGTACCACTGAATAAAACCTAATGATACTTTAACAGATTCTTTATTACATAATGCCATTGTGCATCTCTTATTTTACTTTTTGATATGACAATTAATACAGGCCTCTCAGAGCAAAACATGAACTTTGCCATTATAACGATATGGGAGGCTGGGGTATCATTTAGTGAGCTCAGTCAGTGCTCACAGCACCTCTAGTTTGAAATTAAACTCATTTCAAAAAAAGAAAATCATCTTTAAGACAGGGTTACCTTTCCATGATGGTTTTTCCAATAGGAGTGGATCCTGTGAATCCAAGCTTCCTGATCTCTGGATGTTCTGACATGGCTTGTCCAATGGAAGAACCTGAAATGAGAAGCTCAAGTACGAAAGGAAATACATATTGTATTTGAAATCTCAGAGGTTAGAAAACATTTTTGTCAGAGCTGTCTCCCTTGGTGCTTTTTCTTTAATCACCAAATGATAGAGAAAATTCTGTTTGCTTTTTCTACCTCCCTACCCAAGCAGTCCCAGATAAAACTCATTTGGACTGTCCTTCATGGAGGATCTCTCCCCCCCCCCCTGTCTCTCTCTCTTTTTCTCTCCCCTTACCTGGACCAGGTAAGATGTTGATTACTCCTGGTGGAAACCCAGCCTTCACAACAAGTTCTGCAAATTTCAGGGCTGTCAGAGGAGTGACCTAGTGAAAATGAAAGATTTTCAGAAGTTTACATATATGGCAAAATCATTTTTTTTTTTTTACGCATTTAACTTAATTATAATATATGGGAAAACTTTAATAGGAGAAATTGTTTCATCTAAATTCTCCCTTTCTACAGTTACATTCAAAACTGTTTGATCCGACATGCATTGGGAGGCAAATTTTGTGTTGGAATAACCAGGGTGTCGGATTTCACAGGCCAACGAACATGAAAAATATTAAAATGGGAATGAAAATAAGGATTGAAATTTAAAGTGATTTGGATTACACATGAATTGGATAAAACAGTCTTGCACATGTTTGTTACATACCTGTGCTGGTTTTAGGACTACTGTGTTGCCTGCTGCCAAACAAGCTGCCATTTTCCACGCCAACATCATCAAGGGGTAATTCCAGGGCACCACAATTGCACACACTCTGATAATCAAGACATATATTCTTTAGTCTTTTCATTTTAAATTGATGTTAATGACTAGTCTAATGATAGCTAATAAATTTATCAAATGTTCATCAATTCCATTTCATCATGTTTCATGTATTATACTATTCTATTACACGTGTATATAATTTAAAAAGAAATGATAGCTTTTAGTATTACTCACCCAATAGGCTCCCTCTTGGTGTAGGTCAGGTTCTTGTTTGGCCGTGCATGGTTAATAGGAATGGTCAAACCCTGAAAAGATAAGGAATATGTACAAAACACAAAGATATATGTTGTCACACACAGTCATTATAATACAACAAATAGTTTAACCATTTTTAATGAACAACCATCTGAAAATAATTTGCAAAATTAGATCAATAAAAATCAAAAGATTCATATATACAGTGTAATTTTAATTTAATTTGCAAATCTGATCCGACACAAAATATAAAAGTTTAGCAGCTTTTCCCTTCTTTACAGTGCACTAATATGTACACGAACATTAATTCTATTTGACCACTATAAGAGAGTTAGATTTTAACCTGAATCTTATCACACCAGCCAGCAAAGTATCTGAATGTGTCAATAGACATCCCCACGTGTGTCTTCAAGGCTAGAGTGTATACAGCTCCTGAGTCAATGCTCTCCAGCGTAGCTAACTCTTCCCGGTGCTCATCCATTAAATCTGCCAGTCTGAATTTAGATTTTATTTTATTATGAAAACAATTTAAAATATAGAATACAAATACATGCTGGTGAATGAAAATAAACAAAACCAGTTGAGTTACCTGAACATGAGTGTTCCTCTGTCCCTGGCATTCATCTTCCCCCATTCACCTTCATAGAAAGCAACCTAGTAAAGGGGGTAAAAAAGTATATTATGTGAGGGTCAAAATACATCAAAACAATCAGTCTTCACGAAAACTCACTGGTCTGGAGACCGAGGCCAGTGAATTTTGATGTCGGGTCAGTGAAAATCAAAAGTAGAATGGGCTTGATGATTATAAAAATCATTCAAAATCAATATATATTTTAACTGACTTACTTGGGTAAACTTCAATAATATATGAAATAAAATGAACAAACATGTGTTGTTGAATCGTTATATTACAAAATGGATGTATTACGTAACAACTGGAACTAGCTAGTAACTATTAACTACTACGTAAAATGTGCGAATTTCCAATGAACAACTTAACAAAACGTGACAAAGGACGAAAAATGGCGGCATTTCAAAAGTTGAAGTGCGAAAACATGTATTAATTTACAATTATGAAAATGTATTTATTTTATTTTTTAATTAAGGGGGCCAGTAAAAATTATAGTGGGCCAGTAAATGTTGAAAGTTCACTGGTCCAACTGACTAGTTAGTTTAAAAAGTTTTTGTGAAGACCGAACAATGGCCCTTATTTATAAAGACCCATGAAGTTTACAGTCTTCGCGCTTAACTTTTTTGACTACAAGCCCATAGGGCAAGTTAAAGTATAAAATTTGGTAGCCCAAACGAAATTTTTCTAGCCCAACTCAAGAGAAATAACAAATGAACAAATGACGTTTTAATAAGTGCAATCACATTTGCATTTCCAATTTAATTCAATTTGATCACTAAGCGTTCAAAACCACTTTGAGTAATTGTTTTAAACACTTTGCTGCATCAGTCAACAGTGTGACATGCACACATCTTTAAATAAAAAATACTTACAGTAAGATTATGAAAATTTAACTATGTATCTAGATTTTAGAACAGTTGATATCATATATTTATTACTCTTTTATTTATTTATAAGAAAATAAGGGGTATTTCGGTGATTCCTAGGGGCATTTCGGTGATTCGTAGTACCGGTGTATTCAGTCCATGGTCAGATTTCCAGCCAATTTCGCTAACGCTTTGATTCTACGTACTTCATTTTGTGCACCAACTTTTATTTCTTCCGTAAGAGCCCTCCTGTTCATGAATCACTGACTTGGGATAGCCCTTCTTGATATTTTATAAAAGGAATCATACTTCGCCACCAGAAATTTACTAACTAGCCCATCGAGCATGTGCGTAAATAATTTTTGGTAGCCCGATCCCGATTTTACTAGCCTTGGTCATTGGGCTACCGCTTAATTTCAAAGACTGAGTTTAAAGTATCTTATTTGAGGAGTATTTAAGAGTTTGATTAACTTGTTTGCCATCAGAAATATGCATTTGCATTTATTTTCTTTAGACACAAACAATTCAGCAATTCATTAAAATATTCTATAAGACTACTGAAAATAAATTATTTTTCTATTCTCAACGAATTTAAAGAAATGATGTGATACCTTGGCAGCCTCTACAGCTCTGTTCACGTCCTCTGGTGTACCCCTGGACACCTTACAGATCACCTATAAGATAGAAAAGTGTACAACATAAGATACAAAAGTAACAAGTGTACAACTCCAAATAATTTGAACAAAAAATTAGATGGATGATAATTGATTCATACTACTTATGAATGGAATGAATACCATGTATACTCATGTACTCAGGATCAGGAACAATACTACATACTTTTTGATTCAAATGCTTATTTTACAAAGGCACAACCTGTCTACAATCAACACTACTCACCCCCACCATTGGCTTTAACAATACACAAACAGGCTTCCCATTTGACGTAATGTACAAAAGTTTTCCATTTGTGGTTTCCGAGTATACACAAGTATTACATTTTCGTTCTGGGAATAACCCTATACCTAACACACCATTACTGGGATAACTAATTGTAAACTTACAGATTCATCATTAGGGTTAATTGTGTCAAACGTCCTTCCATCAGACGAGTCCACAAATTCGTTGTCAATAAAGCACTGGTGAGGGAAGGACAGATCCATGTTGTTCACTCGCATGTTGACCTACAAAATCAGTCCAACTGTATGACACTCAATACACAAAACATGCTTCCTTCTAAATGAGCATTTTATCAAAAATTTACATCTTATATTAATATAAATATTGCATATGGTTAAGGGTAACAATGAAATTTTACATCCCAAGAAAACATGTTGATATGCAGTTGGACAATGGGGATGAAAATGGACAAAGATACCCTCAATTAAATGCATATTTATTCTGTTACAATGAAGCGCATTGAAGTGGTAAAATTTTCCGTTCGAATGGAACGTATTGAGCTATCTTTAGAATGTTTATTGTCATCTTATGACACGCCCATTTCTTTAGAAATGGATAAAACGGTCAATTTGTTTATCCGAATACCTGTAGAACAGGTTTTCCATAAATATAATAACCAATGAAATTGACGGTCTGTAAATAAACACCGAGTAAACACGTGTTCGACCGAAACATGTGTTGTGGTGACTTCAAAATAGACATGATGAGTTCAAAAATATGTGCATATTCGTTGCAAATTGTGTTTTACAGAAGCGGGGAGTCTCTAACTCTCTCTTCTAATTTTTTGAAGCTCCATTTTAGTGTAACTCATATTGCTTGTCGCGAAGAATGGGGTGTCCTAAAACATTACGACGAATATTTCTTTCTCGTTTCTTAAAATATGGGCGTGTCACTATGTTATAATTGACGTTCAAAACATGACTCAGAACGTTTTTTCCAAACGGAAAATTTTACCACTTCAATGCGCTTCATTGTATATAAATTGTTTAATAAACATAGAAGTACACATGAAATCCATGGTCAACATTTTTTTTGAATATCACCCATGTACAAGGATTGTTGACTGCAGAAGGTTCAACTTCTTAATTCAGATGGTTGTTGTATTTTTCAACAAATCTTTTAACTGCTTTACAAGAAAATTCAAATTAAATAACTATTAAGGATGTACAACACACCTACCCCAAAAAATTCCTGTCGTTTAATTTTCGTTATTTTTGTATATTTAGTAAAGGACTATATGTATTGCATGTATGCAAATTTTGGACAAAATCATTCAAGTGGTTTTTGGACAGGAACTTCCAAAAATTACCCACCTTTAGTTGTTTACAAGGAGAGAAAATTTTTAATCAATGAACTACTTAAACCTTGATTTTCAAAAAGGCCAGGTTAGATATAAATGTCAAATTTCATTGACTTATTCCTTTAACCATTTAACACAAAAACATAGTCATCCTTTTGATATACATATCATCAAAACAATTTTTAAAGACCTTAAACTGAAAAACTATGAATTACCTAAGCCTTGAAATTTGTGTATTTTTCAAATTCAAATCTTTTTGGTGAAAAAACCTGTCGTTTAATTTTGGTAAAAAACTTTCTTTAGGTAGCTGGTAGTAAAAATAATCTTCATAATTTTTTGTATAATTTTTGTACGACCAGTTTTGATTTAATAGCGGAAAATTACCCCCTCCCCCTTTCTCAATAAATCACGTTCCCGCGCGTCTTTCAGACGGGGGTCGATCACTTTGCTATGAATCTACAAATACACATTTTAAAAAAATCAAATTGGAATATTGCTTTTGCTTCAAAAATTTATTAACTTACAAATTTATAAGTTCTCATATGTAAAGCGTATTTAAATGTAGATTTTTAGGCAATTTTTGAATACCCCTACCACCCCACCCCTTCCTTTTTTGCGTCGCAGACCAATAGCGTTTGACGAAACGTCGTTTACAGTGCAAATATACTCGTATTTCGTCATTTGAATCCCGGAGGTATGCATTAGTTTTTAAATTCATTAATGAAGAATAAATATTGACTACTGTTTTTATATGTATCAGGAAAAAATTACTGAAGGATTTTAGTGTTTAGTCCATATATGTATGCGCTATGCATTCCATATCACATGAAACCTGGATACGAATTCAAGTTATGTTGAACTTGAATATGTTGATTTTTAATTTTATTTCTTTAATTTTATTTATAAAAAATGGTGTATGTTCAATTCTCCTGTGATATAAATGGAATAATTGTAGTTTCTTTCATGTCATTATTTCAAACGAGACAGTGTGTGGCCATGGGGATACATCGACATTTGCAAAGATGTACACCCCTCATGATATTGTACGCATTCTTTCAATGTCGTTGATTCTACAGTTAAAATGAAAATTCCGTATTCGTCCACATTAACTTCAAAATATCAAACATTAAACTCTTCATCTATTTCAATTTATATCAAATCGCACATTGATATTTTTAAAAATCTTATAGGAGCTACGTTTTGTTTTGATTAGAGGAAATGCGAACCGACTTTGTTGACAGTGACAGAAAGTCAAACGATTTGCTGCAATAGGATATTCAGGAATGCAGATTATTCATTACTAGTGAACAATTCTTTTCAATTCTATACTTACATTGCGTATATGAGGTCTTTAGTATTCAATTCTCGGATTTATCAGGTCTTGCTGTAAATGTATCTGATTCTGTGGAAAACCGTGAATAAAGGGAGAAAATAAAGATCTCCTACATTTTCAGAGTTGTTCCTCTTTGATCAGTAAGGTCTGAGAACAACATCAATTTTACATGTATATTGTAAAAGTTTTTATGTTTGTTTATTGTTGTTTTATTTAATTAAAGAAGAAAAACAATATCTATATCGTAAATGTACAAACTGTAATGAATGTTATATAGCCAATTGTACATAATGAGAATTTCGGCAATGTAAAATAAAATTTTCAGAATTAAACAAAAAATGCTGCGCTTTGATCAAGAATACAATTTATTGTATATGGAATGAAATAAAATAAACATTAAGGGATGGTATTTTATGTCTTGCTTTTTATGGAGTTTAATCGGGTTAATTAAAAAAAAACTTATTAATATGGTACGCATATCACAGCCAAAGCCCATTTCCCATTTTTCTTATATGATTGATATACATCGGGATCGTTTTACTCGTCATTTTGACGCTTTATTTTTGACGTTAAATTTGACGTCACGTCAAACGTTCAATTGAAATCGCAAGAGTTATCTCCCCCAGTGTGTTGTATGTCTTTAAATGGACAGAATTTTCCAAATCATAGTGGCCATACAGTTACTTTCATGTCAAATTACAAAACACTCCAGACATTTTCATTATCAGATCCAAATAAATATTTTTGTATCTTTGCACTATAGCTATAAGAATGCTATCCATCTTTTTATGTGAACTTACAGCATCAAATGTGAATGGCTCCTTATCCTCTATTCCTCGGAATCTACGGATCACACAACTGGCAAAATCCTCAAACCCGGCATTCATATACACGTCCTCATTCTGTAGACTAACGCCATTACATTTCTCCTTGACCTCTTCCACCAACCTACAAAATCAATAAAACAGAGAATTAAAAACAAACTAAAAGATTTAACAAACTTTTCAATAAATTTCTAGCCATCCCTGTCATCTTGTAAAGGTGCGACAGTGGAGTTTGGAAGTCTGTTTTTAGTCCAAGGTTCACATTATTATGTTTATTGCAAGAAATACAAAACTTTTTACCTTACAACATCCATGGACCCTGCACCAGACTTGAAGAAATCAGTTGATTCATCCACTTCAATGTTGAGTATCCCACCCCATACAACCTACAAAACAAGTACCCGTATCTGGCATTTTACTTCATGAACAGCTTCAGTAAGAAATACATTCAATCATGTGTACTTTAGTTTGATTATCTCATTTTAAGCTTCCAAATAAATAAACTTAAAGATCCACACCTTAAGATTTTTGATCATATTTTCCTCCTCTGGAGTCAGTTCTAGCTTGGTCTGAGAGGTGTCCTCCTTGCCAAATTTAGACGCCTGGATCATCTTCCCATTCTCGAACTGTAGCTGACTAACATTCACCTGGTGTGTGATGGAAAAGTACGCAATGGATATATAAAGCACACAAAAGTTAAAGGTAAATTTTGTACTTGGTAGTTAGTCACAGGGCTGAATTATGGTCTGGCAAACAATTTTTTTCTCTTGCTAACTCATATGACAAACACTCAGTCCTGCTTATTAAAATGACTACTTTTGGTACAATTTTTTTTATATATTGAAAACTTTCTTTTGTTTCAAAATAATATAAATCCATTAGAATCAAGGGTGAATTAATTTGTAATAAATCAAATCTACTCTCTTGATGAAGGAAAGGCTCATACATTCAAAAAGAACTATCTTAATAGAGCAGGTGGGGGTTTCTGAAAGGAGTTCTTGTGAAAAATAAGTTAACTTCAAAACAGAGCATATCAAAGGAAAATCTATCATTAAATTTTCAGTGAGTTTGGTAATCTTAACAGTAGCATAATCATTTGATCTTTTCAAAATTATAAACAATGAATTGTTAAACTCACCATTTTCCCATCGTTGCCGAAGATGACCATTCCATTCTTGTGAACAATGGCTGGTTTACTGGCACCAGGTATATCCACCTGTGTACCTCGGGGTTCCATCCTGTTCCAAAGTCTGGACCCAAATAACGTCACTTTCTACAAAAACATACATATATATGCTAAACTCTGGATAGAAATCCACTTAAATCTAAAAAAAATCTTGAACTCTCATCTTTTTGACATTAAGGTTGGTAGAGTAAAAAGCGTTATTTGATTCTGAGTTACCTCCCCCTTGATCTCAATCCAGGCCCCTGGCACCTTGTCACAGCCTCTGATAAAATTATGGATGTTCTCTGCAGACTGATTCAGGTCAATCTTCAAACAATGAATTGTAAGTTATTTTTTCCCATTATTATATAAGTTTTGTATCATAAAGTTTTTATGTGAATTACTCTGTAAGAATATCCCCACTGCATTACCTTGACATTGGCCTTTTTCAGAAGAGCATCATATGTAGCGCCCTCTTCAGGCTGCACAATCCGCGGTGCTCTCCCTTGGTGGATCATCTGGACAGCCTCTCCCTAAAATGATTAAAATGAAATGTGCAAAGTCTCTACTCTACTCTACTCTAGAGGAATAATAATTCACTCCCTATGCATTCTGTTCACAGCTATTTTAGTAGAATTTTTTAACTGCATAAAATTTAGGGTCAATGAATCAACATCATTTAAACATCATAAACTGATTTCCATCGAAAATCTGCTATATAAAGGAAGTTTTCCTTTTTTAATCTGTGGATTTTGAATAAGATATTTTTCATAAAATTCTTAAATTCATACAGAAACACCAACAGTGAATGGTTTACCATGGCTTTGACCCCTTCTGGAAACAGGAAGCGGTTGTAAATGGTGTCTACAGTGTCATCAGGGGCAACATAGCACTTCTTCTGTAGGAGGATCGGTCCTGTGTCCAGTCCATCGTCGGCCCAGAAAATAGAGAACCCGCCCGTTTTATCTCCCTGCATCAGGGTCCTGACACAGAGGAAGGGAATTGTTAATATCTGTACTATGTTCAGCATTATACATTACAAACGAGGTTTATACATGAACACTCTCTAAACATAAATGTTTTTTTATCCATTTGAAAATACGTAATGCTTGAAACTAAGGATAATTATGGATCAGTGGGTCTCTAGTTCATGGATGTCACTTTAAATATGACTATAACTGAAAAAATATTTAATCAAATCCACCTTTAATGGATTTATTAAGAAATTTAGCCAATGATTTTTTTTACATCTATTTATAGAGCATTTGGTAATTATAGAGATATAGGTATAATACATACCAGTTAATGGCTGATGCCCCTCGATGCCTGGGTAGGAGGGAGGGGTGGTAGATGATAGACTGGTACTTGGGGTAGTTGATGACATCCATGGGGATGAACTGAGAGCAGAAGGGGAGCACGTTAAGCTCCGCCCCTACAGACTTGTATTCCGCCAGAATCTCGGGGACCGCCACCTTCTTCACCTGCCACCTCTTGTACTTAAATACCGGAATGTTGTCCTTAGCCGCCGCCACAGCTAAACACAACACAAGTTAGTGAAACGGTAAAAAATATTACTTTAAATTACTGCAATAAAACAAAATTTATTCAATATAAAGTGTTTTTTAGTGCAGGTAAGAGTTTGACGTCTCAATTTGTAGGCATTGTAAAATAAACTGATATGAAACTTTTCATTTTTCTTCGTTCTAATTTTTAAACTATGGACGACGCATCTAGCACTGTGAAATTGAAATACATTTAGAGCACTAGATGAATTATCATGGTTATGGCTTCATGAGTGCATGTCAATTATTCTGTGTGATACATGTACTATGATAAGAAGTATCCTACATTGCACAATAATGGTATACTTGTTTCTGCAGGATATCAGTTGTTCTAGATAATGTTAGCCCTAATCTACATACTATTTTGGGATGAATAAAAAGCTCCTAGTATGACCCACTTTTCCTAGGTTAAATTTGAGAATGCTTTCAATGTGATATTACGACGCTTCACTTTCGACATATTTCGGCACTTCATATACAATTTATTTGGATGAGGACACGAGGTTATTAAAATTAATAACTGGCATTGTAGAACACAAGCTAGCATGTGTCTACATAAGAGACAGGATACACAAGTGACCTCTCTGTAATCTTGCCAATTTTCATGGAATGGATGGTAATCAGTTAAAATTAATACAACACATGTGCAGTAAGGACATGTTGTCACCGATTTACAAGCTAAACTGTGGAGTAATTACGAAGTTATAACCATTACACAAGCCCTATGCAGACTCTTTTTGACAGCTACCGTATCCTTTTCTCCCTTTTCCCTCCTATAATTTTTATAGTTTGTTATAAAATCTTACCCAGTGGGTCTGGTTTGCCGTTGACATCAGGGACAGTGAACACCCCTACGATGTGATGTCCATCCTTCTGTAGTAGTCGATACACCTCCGCCCCGAACAAACTCTGACCAATCACAGCAACTTTCATTCTGTCGTACCAAGTCTGTCATAATAAAAACATTAATCCTTCAGAAAGTTCATTAAAACTTGATCTGTTTACCAATTTATAAACATGTAATCTTCATGTGATTACTCTTTATACCTTTCCTTCAACAGAAATTCTATATCTCATTATCTATAGGTTTACATCCTAACTGACTAGAAGCAGTGAGAATGTTATATGTCAATAGTTCAAAGGAATAAAAAAGTTGACAAACATAAATTGATCTCATAAAAACTAAAAGGCACTTTAAGAAATGAGGTATTTAGTAATTATATTATAGCTGATAAGACAAGACAGTTGTGACACAATTCCACTTATGCATATATTACTCCTCCAGTGCTTATGTGCATGTTCTTGTCAAAATATTATGTACAGGCGGCAGGTTCAGATCACTATGTACATACTTTAGTTTTGTCGGTCAGCTACATCAAAAGCAATCTGAAGGCCATGTGAAGTGTTAAATATTAAATATGATTCCCACTTATTTTTAAACAAATTCAACAGCCTGACAAACATAATAAAAAGAGAGACTGTGAGGGTCATTATTGAGGATTCAACCCTGACCCAATTCATTCAGGTCATGCTTTTATATAGCAAACTCAATTTAACATGTTTGCAGCCTGTATTTCCCAATGCATGTTATGTGGTACTTAATTCCTACGTGGAATCAAAATAACAACATATATTCTGGAGGAGTCGCAGTTGTAGAAAAATTTAAAGAAGATTTAGATTACCTTTTAAATACTCTACCTATCCCCTGCATGTTTTTCATTTAATGAAACAGTGATTTAAAATTCAAGTTCCTCCATCAAATATAAAAAATCCTTGATTTTTTTTATAATAGATTTATTTACAATTTAGCTACATTATTATTCTAAAAAAGCAGCCTACCTTTTGTAACGCTGCAGCAGGTTTACAAAACTAGAGCAGACTAGTTTAGATATTCCAGCACTGTTTGTAAACAGGCCTCGTGCAAAAGTAAATCTGGATTACGTAGTCAGACAGGTCACATGATCAGCAGCAGGTCTGACCTACATATCCTGTTTATTGTGAATGACAAAGGGAATTAACTCTGGGTGTAAACATTTACCTACTCCAAGTGTTGACACAGTTGCATATCGTTATGTAATGTTAACTAATGTTTTGTCCCTACCTCTTGTTGATTTTTTTATCTTTTGTCGTAGACAGATAAGAATTATAAATCTCATGTCCAATATAGATAAAGATGTGTCCAAAAAATATTTCAGAAAGATTTTTTTATCATAGTAATTAAATTATGATTTTAATTACATTTTTTTTCTTGAAAATTATTTTATTTTATTTTATCATGCTTAGTAATTATTAATAAAAAAAAATTATAATATTTATTTAAATATTATCAATATAAAGGAAATAATTCACACGAATATATTTTGGGAAAAACAATTCCAACAGTATTTAGCATTGAATACCCAGTATATTGTAGGCCTATATGAATTTTGTCAGAATAAAAATTTAGTGTAGAACTGTAGATTATTGATTTTATTATGATTAACAAAAATCGTTTTCATCCATGTATGCATGACAGTAAAGCAGCTAGGCCTAGATGTCTGCATCCATGTGGACATTATTTTGATCTTTGTATTAAGCATGGTTATGAGCATGAATAGCATGCAGATCTATTTATGTTTATAAATAGATTTTTTTTATCTATGATTATATATTATGTAGAATAATATAAAAGATATTTCTTTTGAACCCAACATGATATAATATATGATATTATTATTAATATAAAAGATTTTTATTTGTTTGTTAAACCATACGTTTAAAAATCTCTTATTAGGTTGCATGAATTATTATAACCTTGGAAAGTGAGGAAGTCAGTGGCAATTAAGGTCATACGCAAAGTAGTCTGAACTTTATTGGGCTCTTCCCTGGAGTTGAAGAGTTCCACTAAATGAAGGACTGTGTGCAATACTTTTTAATTTTTATGTATATATAAAAATTATGGATTTGTACAACTCTTCTAAAACAAATTTTGATGGAAAAAATGTCGAATTTATATAGCATAATTTTTGTACATTTTTCTTTGAATAATGCAAAAACATTCATAATTTGATATCTTTTCAAAACCCCTGGTAACACATGCTGATTTTTCATCTTAGAACGTCATGTAATGTTATTATAAGTTTAAATTCAAAATATCTTGAAAAATTATTAGTAGGTAAGGTACCTTGCATATGTCCTTAACATCTACATGCTGTCAGACAATTATAACAAGTTCAATACATGTGTCTGTGACACTAAATTGATAATCATGCTGACTCAAGCAGTGAATTAGAATTCAGTCACCCATAATTCTAAGCCACTGCTTGAGCTATCATGATCAGTTGACAGTTGAAGATAGAAAACACTGTAAATACCGGTACCCTGGAAATTTGTTCTAAAGCAGAGAATTTGTTTACAAGTAATAAAACCATGTCCAATCTAAATTAAGACACAATGAAATCCATTTAATGCTAAAATTGGAAACAAATATTGCTGCATAAGTGAATATTAACGGGTTTTTTTACTGTGAATCTGAAGCTGTCTACTGTCAAGTATATCAGATTAATTTTATATTCCACATATTCCCAAGAGCTGGAGTTCTTCTGATAGTTTTGCTTGCCAATTTAGATGTTCTAATAAGTGCAACTAAATATTCAAAGGATTTTAGAGCGAGTACTCTTATTATAAGTAAATTCATTATAAGTTGGTGCTTCCCTGTTAATTTTAAAATGTTCTTTCTCCTTTCTCTTATCCCTGGCCTCAAGACCATAAATTGACAACAGACTTAAGTCAATTAAAGTTTTGATTTTTGATATCTTAAGTTTTATTTTAAGTAATTGATTGAAAGTTTGCAATTATAAACATATAACACTGAAATTTAAACATTTCACGAAACTTTGTTCCATTATCAGAATTTTTTTTTTTTATTATACTGGTGTGAAATTTTGACAAAAGTCTGTTCTCAGTTTTGGTCTTTGGGCATGGTTGTTAAAATAATTTATGGAAGTGCATGTCTCATTGATAAGAGGTGAAACTAGATGGTTTAAGAGTATAATTTAAGATTAATGTTTGTATGCCACATCACTCATGAACACACCCTGGCTCCACCCTACCCCAGGGAGTCAAGATTTGAACAAACTTGAATCCCCCACTCCCACCCGCCAAAAGGACACTTTGTAAGTTTGTTGAAGGTTTTGTTTTTGAAATTGGCCAAGTAGTATTCAAGCAGAAGTCAAACAGACAGACAGATGCTGGACAAAATGTGATCTGTAAACCGCTTGTCAGCTTTCAGTTCAGCTGAGCTAAAAAGTCCCCGGAAGAGATGATGCATGAAACATTTTATATATATTATATTTGTTTATTATTATAACAGCAATATTCAGTTTATTATTAACAGCAAATTTGCAGTTTACCAAAAATATGAAACTTTTACATAGGAGGAATTAGTACATGACAGTGCCAAGATCTGGTCCTGCTGGAATCACCGACACAAGGTCTTGTGGCATATGTGGCATCACATGATTCAAGGAACATTATGAAACATCAACATTTAAAAGACACCAAATTTATCACAAAGCTAAAATAAAAATCCTTTTAGGTGTTCAATTATTTGAGATCCCTCTTATGCAATTTTCTGACAATTTCCAGGTACATTGCAGAAGTGCAGTCCATCTGGTGTGCAATACGCCGGTGCACACTCTACAATATGTACTGATAATGGCGCGAAAAATATCTTCTGACCTATATTTTGTTATCTATACATTACCTGAGAGGTAGAAAATAGACGGACAAACTGTCTCGATGCAAACATTCTATCTGGGTCAGTTTATCAGTAATGTTTATCCTTCTATCATGTCCCTAGACGTTCTCCAAAAAGTATGGTTGGCGGTCAAGGTCGTTTGACGTGCAACGTTCTTACGGGATATTCGGTGCGTCGATTTACCCAAAAGGACCCAAAAGGACCCAAAAGAACCCAAAAGGACCCAAAAGGAACCCAAAAGGACCCAAAAGGAACCCAAAAGGACCCAAAAGGAACCCAAAAGGACCCAAAAGGAAATTAAGAACAACCCAAAAGGACTTGAAATAAAGACAATAAATGGATATATAATGAACATTTTCATATTTTATTAAATCTAAAACTATTTCTTTTAGGGTAAAGTGTGTGGTTGGGGTGGAGATGGGAGGTCCCCCACCACCCATAACCCCCCCCCCCCCATCCCCGATACCATATGACTAAAACATGAATAAGATAAAACTTTTTTATTCATTAAATATCATATACATGTAGTAAGATATGGTTAAACAGAAGGAGAAGTAAATTAATACTTTGTTAATTTCAGCTAAAAGAAATCAAAGCATACCTGACCAGATTTAGTGTTTGTTGTGCTATAAAAGTTGTATGTTATTGTTACAGTTGCAACTGTATAAGTATGTTTTTGCCAACTTTTATGTAAAAATATAATATAATATTCGTAATTTACTTCAAATTATTGATTTTCAATTTTTTATGATATATTAATCAAAGTCCTTTTGGGTTCCTTTTGGGTCCTTTTGGGTTCCTTTTGGGTCCTTTTGGGTCCTTTTGGGTTCCTTTTGGGTCCTTTTGGGTCCTTTTGGGTAAATCGACGCACCCGGGATATTTGATTGGTTGCTAGAACGCACACCTACAGTGGAGGATGAGTTACCTTCTCTTGAGTCTTGTAAAACGTGGCGCCACATACTGTTAAAGTTGCATCATTATCGGCCGCTGATCTATTTGTGGTTGTGTTAGAAAGTGCACATGGGGAAATTAATCCGAGATTCCTCTGACTCTAACCCCCTGCTTTTATATTGTGACTTGTGCCCAAGTCACAATTTAAAAGCAGGGGTTAGAGTCAGAGGAATCTCGGATTAATGGGGAAATGAGATGTTAGGCCTATTTTTTTTATTCGTTCAGTAAAATAATTCTTAAATGATAACATGTATATGATCATGAATAAAATATTTTAAAAACTTTCTTTTAAGTAAGTTTTAATCGTTATTACACACTCAACACAGATACTCCCCATCCCGGGAGTGTGTAAGATACGAAAGGAAATCGTCATGATTTTCCGGATAAGAACGACGTGATAAAAGTGAATGGTGAATAAATATTGAAAAAATGCTCAACAAGTAAAAAAATATCTAGAATATGCTACAGCTGCGAATGACACCAGAATAATTATTTTTCTACATTTTGCACCGCACCATGCAGCATAGCCTACTCTACAGAAACCATAGACATTGATCCAGGGTATCAGCATGTGGTTCATTTTGATGACAATAATTTCTTATCATTAATCATTGACTTTATAACATCGATGAATCCAACTGATGAGCAAATTCAATTTTTTTTTTTAAAAAATATATATATTTATTTATTTTGCTTTGAAGACATCATGAAACAAAAATGATCAAGTGCTGGTGCTATTTTAGCTTTGAATATCTTGACAAATGCTTTCCTTACTTGCATGGACATGTTGGATGCTTTTATAAAATTGTGAAAGTACTTTTTGAAATGCTAGATTTTGTTAGCGGCCGATTTGATGCTTTGCATCAATTTTACTTGTACCGGTGTATTTCCTGTCTAAGAATAGGGCTCTGGGTAGACCTATATTTTTTCCTAATAAGGAAATATTGTAGATTTTATACATTGAAAATATATATATGCTTGTCTGTCTCCTATGCACTGTCCATAAAATTGTTAAAAAATATAGATATGGAAATTATTAATCATGTTAATATTATCATGATTATATAAGGCATCATTTCTACCCGGTAATTTATGAATATTAGACATCACTTGTAAATGCAGGCTATTATGATAAAATATGATGAAGATTAATGTGATTAACCATAGACCTGCTTTAGATAATTTTGAGCCAGCAAATTTGATCATATGTACAACTGTACAATCGTGTTAACTGAAGCAAGCCTGGCCAGTGTATCACCTATAGCCGGTATAACGACGAAAAGTGACCCGG